ATAATAAGGCCATCTAGCTCTGTCCATCTTGTATATAAGTACCTTCCTCCAAACCCTGTCATATACCTTCTCGATGTTTGGGTGGCCATTTTTGTTTTTTGTCTTCTGCTGAATCTTATTTTTGTGTCGCTGATGACTCTTGCTTGTTGGAGATCGCAGTTTCTTCTTCTTCTTAATCCAAACTGGTCCTCCTGAATTATTCTTCTTTTTTCCACATGTTTTATCAGCCTTCTGTACATGCTGTTTTTTAGTACTTTTCCTAGTGTTTCCATAGTAATATGGGCGTGTAACTTTCCGGTCTTCTTCCGTCTTTTCTTAGTTTTAGTAGAGGGATTGCTTTTTCCAAGCAATATTTAAAGATATAGTATAGTTGTACTATTACCTTTTTAGAAAATTCCTTGAGGGCGATGTTATGAATTCCTTTTGATCCTTTTAGTGTTATTCTGATTTTGGCGACTTCTGTTCCCATTCAAACCAAAAATTTCAACTAATGTCTTCAAAATTTTCCCATTTTCAGTGGATCCAGCACAAAGGTGCCACCTGCTTTGGTGGCGAAAAACTAAATACTTACTAAACAATTAAATAAATTATTTTCTATCCTCTGGCGTGTAGAAATGTGTAAAATTTAGTAGCTTTTAGCAAAAGATTGCTATTGCTCTGATGAAATGACAGCCATATATCATGGCATTGGGGCACAAATTAGTCAAACTTTTTACGTCTGAATCGGAATCAATAGAACCAAATAATACGTTTTATTATTATTAATTCTTTAAGTTCTCCCAGATTCATCTCAGGTTGTTTCTCAGCACATATTTCAGCAGTCTTGTATCATAGTGGCCAATTAAGTCCTACTACCCGCAGACAATCTAGAAGTGTACTTTCCTACTTGGTCGAATGTCTTCTCAAAGTCGATGAAACAAACATAAACATTATTTTGGAACTCACAACTTTGTGTAAGAGAAATCTCATACAAAATAGTGCCTCTCTACTCCCACACACCATTTCTAATTCCAAATTGCTTATACCCAGTTTATTTTATTTGGTCGTGTAATAAACAGTTACTCCAACCAACCATTTGGTATTTGTTTTTCGTTGTAAATTTTGTTAAAGAAAGTGGTTATGTAGGCAATATTTTCCTTATCCATAAGTTTACGTAGCTCAGCAGAAATCTTACAGCAGGAATCGCTCAGCAGGGATCTAGATCAAGTACTTTTTTATATTTGACCTGCTGCATTGCTGTTCTAACTTCTGATTTCAGTATACTAGAACTTATTTCAACTGGTTGTCACAAGTAGTATGTGTATAACTATTCTTTTCTCGAAAAGCATCATTGCAAACCTCACTGATGTATCTCTTTTATTCTTTGTACTCGTGTTAGTGACCACAAATTTTTTTGTCTGCTTTTTTAAGTACGTGAGTATTTTTAGGCTTTCCAATTTCTGAAGTAGAATAGAAATTTTATGGGCAAATCTTGCCAGTTAAGACAGAAAGTCAGAAGTTAATACAAGAGCAATAACAATAATTAAAATTTATTAAAATTACATCAATCACAAACATAAAAAAATAAAAGATAATAAACTAAACCATACATTGCAAAATTTAAAAAAATGCATATTGGATAATAAAACCTGATGAACTATTAATTTCAAGTCGTTGCAATTGATAGAAAATACTTTATTTAATTGTACCGGGTGGTCCAATAAGCCGATCTCTCGGCTATATATCAGAAACTATTCATTCATGTTATAACTTTAGGAGAAAAAATTCCCTAGTAAAAGTGACCAAGAGAAATCGCTGGAAATATCTTTCAAGTTTCTGGGTTAACTGCTAGGGGGCGTAACGTGGGAAGAAAACTTTGAAAACCAGTTTTTTTTGGGAAATATGTTTAATTACACCAAGTGTTAAATAAGTAAATTAGAAAAAGGTTTAAATTCCGCACAAAGTTGTTCAAGTACTTTTTTTATTTTTTGGAATAAAGGGTGGGGGAGAGTGGGAATGTATTTGTGGATAAATACCTATAACTTTGGTTAGGATCAACCATTTTAACAAAATTAGTGTCATTAGAAAGAGTGTAGATAAATTAATTTACATCTACTATAAAATAACTGCATTTAGTTTTAATTGTTGTAGGTAAAGGGTACTTTCAAATAAAAAAAAAATAAAATTTGTTTTTCTTCAAAATGTTTAATGGAAACACCTATTTATTGTAAATTATAATGGAACTGGATTAAATTTGTAACACAATGGTGCAACCCGCATGTTAATAGCTTCTGTCGAGCTTGATATATGAATAAAAACGCATAAACATAAGTAAGTATAGTATTGACACACCCTCTATTATAAATTAAATTAAAAAATTAGTCAGTAAGTACTTTCAAATTTTTTTATAGCAGAAGAATCTAAATGTTGTTATTTATTTTGACCATTGTTATTTCATATGATTAAAAATGGTTTTTTCGAAACTAAGTAGGCTACGACAATGAATTTGACAGGGAGTTCATATTGTTTATTTATTGACAGCAGTTAAAACATTGTTAAGAAGTGTTATATGTATTATAATTCGAATTAAATATTGCACTTTTTTCAATAGATACTAATATTGGCAATATTAGTAATTAGTTATCAGTACTAATAATTCGTGAGGAGTATATCAATTGGTATGATATGATTGGAGTTTATTTCGAATATCACCAAAATGGCGCTATTGCCTCACGTATATATTCTGTAAGATATCTTGACAGGAGACATTGTGGCAAGGAAGTGGACATTTGCCGACTACTTATATGTGGATTCTGTTGAATTAAAGCAAGAACATTGATTGAATTATCTTCGGTCATACCTCTACCACGTCGTTTAAAACAAGGACGAGAAAAACTACCAGTTTATCTTAATCTTCTTGTCTTTCTTTAAAATACTTCTTTGCCATAATGTCCCCTGTCAGGATATCTTACAAAGTATATACGTGAGGCAATAGCGGCATTTTGGTGACATTCGAAATAAACTCCAATCATAACATATAATTAAATATACTCCTCACGAATTATTAGTACTAATAATTACCAATATTACCAATTAAAAAAGTGCAATCTTTAATTCGAATTATAGTACGTATAACACTTCTTAACAATGTTTTGACTGTTGTCAATAAATAAACAATATGAACTCCCTGTCAATTTAATTTGTCGTAGCCTACTTAGTTTCGAAAAAACCATTTTTAATCATATGAAATAACAATGGTCAAAATAGGTATCAACATTAAGATTCTTCTGCTATAAAAAAATTTGACAGTACCTACTGACTTATTTTTTAATTTAATTTATAATACAGGGTGTGACAATACTATACTTACTTATGTTTTTATGCGTTTTTATTCATATCTCGAGTTCGACAAAAGCTATTAACATGTGGTTTTCGCCATTTTGTTACAAATTTAAGTCATTTCCATTATAATTTACAATAAATAGGTGTTTCTGTTAAACATTTTAAAGAAAAACAAATTTTATTTTTTTCTATTCGAAAGTAGCCTCTACCTACGACAATTAAAACTAAATGCAATTATTTTATAGTAGATGTAAATTAATTTATCTACACTCTTTCTAATGACACTAATTTTGTTAAAATCTGTTGATCCAAACCAAAGTTATAGGTATTTATCCACAAATACTTTCCCACTCTCCTACACCCTTTATTTGAAAAAATAAAAAAAGTACTTAAACAACTTTGTGCAGAATTTATACCTCTTTCTAGTTTACTTATTTAACACTTGGTATAATTAGGCATATTTTCCAAAAAACTGGGTTTCAAAGATTTCTTCACAGGTTACGCCCTCTAGCGGTAAACTCAGAAACTTGAAAGTTATTTCCAGCAATTTCTCTTGGCCACTTTTACTAAGGAATTTTTTCTCTTAAAGTTAAAACATGAATAGTTTTCTGATATATAGCCGAGAGATCGGCTTATTGGACCACCCGGTACATAAAGGTTCTGTAATTTCTTAGATATTCGTTAAGAATCTCTTTTACTGAATAATATTGTATTTCAGATAGAAAAATTTTACGGGGAGTTAGAGTTGCATAAATAGTTGCAATATTAGAGTTCTACTGGTGATACTGGTATAGTCAGCAAAAAGAAAAATTTTAGTTAAAAAAAATACTTCGAATTCCGCAGAAATTTAGTTTTTTATCAAAATGCTGTGATTTATACAATCAAAAGCTTTGGAGCAGTCTCAAAAAACAGTGGCAGTGTACACATTATTGTTAAGTGCTTGGTAAATCTTATGTAGTACTGAAAACAGCATCACTGGTACATTTAAAAGATAAAAAGCCAAACTGATTTTGTGATAAAACGTTGTTTTTAAACGTTGTTTTTTAACATAAGTCGAGTTTTTATGTCTCTCAAGAGAAATAATATTGTCTGTTTTTATTCACTATAGAGATATACCTTTATTAAATAAATCAATAGTTGCTAAGATCAGAAGTAAGAAAAAATACACAAGAGATTGGCACTAAAAAATTTGGTCAAGAAATTTCAAGTCGAATTACAAAGGATATGGATGCCAATTTATTTGCTACAAACTAGTAATAAAATTTTTAAAAAACTAATAAAACACTTAATTATTCTTATCAGTATCTAAAAAATTGTATTCTTAACCTTGCTGGCCGGACAAACTGTACTAATTAAAAAGCGAGTAGAAAACCTTTAAATACTCATAAAAAACAAAAATTCGTAAAGTAATTAACCCATATATATTTGTTGTTAGCAAACGATAATAACTCGTTTTCGGTCCGTCTCATCTTCCAAATTCATTAGCAAAGTTAACGATGTACAAAACGTCAGGACAGGTTTTTCTCACCTCCTAGCTAAATATTTCGCTGAAATGATTTCAAATTTTCTAGCCGCTTCTAAGATTGAAAAACAAATTTAGACACTCCAAAGAGTAAACAGTGGAAAACTAGTGTAAGTATATATAATAATTGGTCTTTTGGAAGATTTTCCAGTAGAGTTTTCATTTTCAGGTTGTGGGTGCAACAGTGAATAATTTAACAATGGTAGGTTTATTGAGAATAGATAAAAGTTTTATTTAGTAAATTAAAATACAAATATCATTTTATGATAGATATACGTACCATATAAAAATCAATACAATTTAATAATAAAGTAATTTTCGAGTAAATACACAGAGACTATCTGTACTAAAGTTTGAAAGTTCATTGTTCTTTATTTATTTGTTTATTTGTATATATTATCAAAATAAATAATGTTTACAAAGTAAATTCATACAATTAAATTTAAATGACATAAATAAATAACAGGTACAATTGCATATATACATTAGATAACGTTTTAAGGATATGAAGACGTTTAACGCTTTAACGTTTTTAACATATTGTTTTACAACTTTATGGATTCTTAAGATGTGAACTTACTTCTTATTCCTGTACCATCTCTGATTACAGAATGTTTACAATTATATTGAAGGTAATTATTTTCTTTGTGAAGCTCAGCATAAATCAGCGGATATCTTGTGTATTCTGTGTATTGTGTATTCTTCTTCAGCCTAGACCTCTTCTTCTGGCGATCTTGCCCTAGATTGTGAATTTAAGAACAATATAATTCTCACCAATAATGGTCTCTTAATAGGAGATAATTTTCTTCGGGAAATAGGTGAAAATTGCTGTTCAACAAATTCAAACTGCAAACCAAAAAAGTATACTACAAAAGATTATAAAATTGTAAAATATCTAATGATTATTTGACATAAATTAGCTGTAGTGAAGTTTTCTTCTTCTTAAAATGTCATCTCTTCAATGAAGGTTGGCTATTACAATTGCAAACTCTTCTATGTCTTTATTTGTTATTTTTACCTGTTTAACCCTAATCATTACCAAATTTAACCCTAATCATTGTCGAATATTTCTTAGCCACAATAGTATTTTTCTTCCTAGTCATATCTTTCCCTTGATCTGTCCTTTCGCTATTAGTTGAGTATATTAATACTTAATATTTCTCAGTATGTGACCTAGGTATGATATTTCTTAAACTTTCACTATGTTGTTCTCGTTCCTTGCCTATTCTTTGCAGTACTTCTTCGTTTGAGCTATGCGATGGTTACAAAATCTTAAGAAATTTTCGGTAGATCCACATTTCAAAGGCTTCCAATTTATTTACCATTGATACTTTTGTGGTTCACGTTTCAACTGCCTAAAGAGTCGACCAGACGTAGCATTTTGATAAACGAAGTCAAATTTTGTTCGAGAATCACATAGCAGTCTCTTGATTTTTTCGATAAATTTCCAGCACTGTTCTATTCTCGATCGTATTTCTAGATTAGAATTTAGGCTATTATCGATAAACATCCCAGGTATTTGAACTTGTTGACATGTTCTAAAAGTTACCCTTAATGCGCAAGGTCAATGTACATTTTGGTTTTTTTCGGATCAACATCAGTTTGGTTTTCTAAATGTTTATTGTCATACCAAATTGCTCACAGATCAAGTTGATCCTCTCTACATCGTCGCTACAGAGCCAAGTCGGTATTCGCAATCAATACCGTAGCATCGGCGTATCTGATACTTTTGATATTTACTTTATTCACCTTGACTCTATCTTTGGATTCAAGGTGACAAAATACATCCTTGTCTAACTTCTCTCCTAATTTCTACTATAGATATGGAATCTTCGATCCCAACTCTACAGTAAACTTATTTTTTCAAAAATGGTTGTGTGTAAAAATCAGAGAAAATAAATAAATATTTTGATCACAGTGGATTTTCAAGAAACATGGCGCAGTCAATAAGAGCTGTGAAAATTCTTTATTATCAAATATTCAAAACACAAGATTAGTCAAACAACTTTGGGTATAATTCTCAGTAAACTTGATAAAAAGATTTGGTTAGATCAAGACAGCCCATGACGATGTAAGAAAATGGTCATAACGGTATGTTAAGTGTACTCGTGCCTCAGTTTGCTCTTCTTATAATTGTTTTGGATTGGAAAACTCTGTAGTTTAACGAATTTTCAAAAATAAAAATTAGTTTTCCTTTAAATCGGTATTATGCAAGAAACGTGAGCCCATAGAAGACTGGAGTTTTTTGAAACGATTGCAAATACACGCTTTTGTAGTCCGGAACTCGATATTGGGCTTAATATGTATTTAACAAGAAGGTAATACAAAATCATTACAATTATCACAAAAAGTTAATATGTGGGCTGGTGTTCTTGAAAATTTATGGCATTCTGATAGCAATTTAAATACAGATGTTTGCTTAAACTTAATTAATTTTAACCGTATCTCAGCTTTAGCAGTCATGTTCCCTAATGAAGGCAATCCGTCTAAGAACCTCTAGTTTTAACAAAATAATGTTTTGTCTAATTTTATGAATTATTGTTCTTCCTCTTTATAAGCAATTTTGCTTGTATATTGTTTCCTCCATTCTGCTTATGTGGTTATTCCATTTTTTTTTCTATTTTGTGTCGATTTATTTATACACTGTACGTTATATTTTTTTCTAATGTCTTCATTTTTCTTTCGATCTCTTAGCGTATTTCCTGTAATTCTTCTCAGTACTCTCATCTTTGCCGTTTTTAGTAGATTTGCGATGTGTCTGTGTCTGGTCTTGTTTCTGAGGCATATATCATAATTGGTTTTACACTGGTTTCTATATATTCTTGACTTCATCTCAGTGTTAATGTGCTTGTTTCGCCAAATAGTGTTATTAAGGCATCCTGTCAGTCTATTTGCTTTTTGTACTTGACCTCTCATTTCTTTGTCCAGGTGTTCATAGCTAGACAGTGTAATTTCCCAGGTAATTTATTTCCATTCCTTGTTCAATACTGATGTCACTAATTTCTATTTTACGTCTGGTTGGTTCTTTGCTGACTACTATGGTTTTAGTTTTCTGAAATGAAATTGTCATGTTAAATTCTTTTGCTCTTATATTATATCTGTCTAATATACTGTATACTCCTGATCTCATCGGAACGACAATAACTGGAATTAATGCTGAATGAACTTCATGAAGAATCACTGCAAAAGGCATAAAAATTAACTTCAACAAAACAAAAGTAATGACAAATACGGAAGACCAAGAGGCAATAAAAATACAAACAGAAAAAATAGAACAGGTAAATGAGTATATCTATCTAGGACAAGCAGTCAGAGCTAACAGAGAAAATCAAACAGCCGAAATATCGAGACGAGTAAGAATGGGATGGGCAGCGTTCGGCAAACTTTCTTACGTTCTAAAAAATCAAACACTCCCTCTATACTTACGAAGCAAGGTATATAACTCCTGTATAATCCCGGTGCTCATCTACGGAGCACAGAAATGGACATTTACACAGGCCAATTTGGATAGGATAAGGAAGGCACAAAGAGCGATGGAGAGACAAATGTTGGGTATATCACTTAAAGATAGAAAACGTAACCAGTGGATCAGAACCAGAACAAAGACAGTAGACTCGATAGAACAAGCAGCAAAACTGAAATGGAAATGGGCTGGACACAATGAAAGTCTCCAAGACGGACGATGGATCAATACCATCGGAAAGTGGCGTCCATACAATGCAAAGAGCTCAAGAGGCAGACCACAGATGAGGTGGAAAGATGACATGAGGAAACAAGGAGGTCCCACATGGCAGAGAACAGCTCAAGATAGAGAAAGATGAAGAGAAACTGGGGGAGACCTATATCCAAACATGGAAGGATAGAGAATAGGTTCAAAAAAAATTATATCTGTAGACCCGTCTTTGCAGAATATTTTCATCTTGGGCTATCAATATTGCGTCGTCTGCGAAACAGAGTATTTTTTATTGCTTTATTTTCCATTCCCTATCCTCTTCCTTTGTTTACGGTTTTGATGGTTTTATCCATAATTAAATTAAAGAGCATTGGGCTCAATGAATCCTCTTCTCTTATTCCGCTCCCTATTTCTATAGATTCTGTAAGTTGTCTATCTATTTTGACTTCCAATTTGTTATTTTGGTGGATGTTTTCGATAGTTTTTATAATATTTGGGAAAACTTCTCTATTATACAGAAGATGCATTAAATCTTTGACTCTTACTCTGTAAAATGCTTTCTTTAGGTCGTTCAGACACAAAAATGCTGGTCTATTATACTTTAGTGATTACTCAGTAATTTGCTTTATAACGAATATTGCATATGTATATGATCTTCCACTTTATGATTTCTATATGGAATAATTTCAAAAATTATTTCGAAATGACTGGAGCGGTAGATGAGAGTTTATTAAATGGCCATCTTTTCATTCAAATTTCATCTCTTAAGATTTTTGGTTGTGTTGTTATTTAAAAATAAAATCTATCTAAATAGGTTAGACAACTTTACAGAGCTAAAACTACATAGTAGAGAAAAACATCACTCCTAATTTAATTTAGAATTTCACCAATTAATTTGGCATCGAATTGACTACTGTCAGATAGTTAACAGTGATCATTTTTTTGTGGTGCCTATCAGTTACAGATGTAAGCTACTTGCATGACAATTCTAACTTTATTGACTGCAGCTCAAAATAGTCCTAAAGTGATCAAGGAAAACCATTTTCGAAGGATCTGGAACTAAGATATTCTTCTTCTTCCTGGTCCCCTCTTTCCGTAGACCTTTCCCTATAATATAAGTTGCAGCAGGTTATATCTATGGTCGTTTCGCATTATATGTCCAAGATATTCTAGCTTGCGCTGTTTCACTGTTTTCATAGTGGTCATTAGCTATCTAAAATCAGTTGGTATCTGAAAGGACTATTCATTTATCTATTCAAATAAATCTAAGGTCTAATATTATTTAAACTTTATCAGAAGCAAAATTATATGACTTCATTTATTACTTTTGGGATACACTGACGGTACTTGCTGATACTTCAAGAAGACTGAAGTCTTCTAGCAAGGATATAACTAACAATGAGTTTAACTGATTTTTACAAAAATAAAATCTATTTACTCTTAAATATATTTATAGAATGACGAGGAACAAAAATTAGCCATTTTGCGTAAGGCGTTCCAGATGTTTGACACCAAAAAATCCGGATATATTGAAACGATCAAGATTGCCACTATTCTTAGCAGCATGGGTCAGTTGTTTGATGAGGTAGAACTTAACAATCTAATCACAAAATCCGATCCTGATCGTTGTGGTCAAGTTAACTTTGATGGCTTTTGTGATATCGCCACTCACTTTCTGGAAGAAGACGATGATGAATCTACCCAGCAGGAATTGAAAGAAGCTTTCAGGTTAGTTTTACTTATACTGCTTATACTATAATACAAGTAATGCTCTGGTTTAGAAAAAGTAACAAAATAACATTATTTATTAATATTTTTCATAGATAAGTAAATTATTATGTTCCACTTTAAGTGTGTGAGAAATAAACAGAAGAAAAATGATCCAAGACTTACAAGAGCATATAATACCAAATAAAATTATAACAATGATAGCAAATGACAATTCGAGATTCCCATGCTACAATAAACACCGACAGATGAAGCATAAAAATAAAAAATGGAGTAAGATAAGAAGATGCGCCCTCAAAAGTAATATTTATTCTATCACTAGACAAGATACTAAAAAAGCATATCTAAACTGAGATAGAAACAAATATTAAAAACAAAGTTAAGGAGTCTGGAAATTAGAAATATAGAAAGGACAATCAAAGAGAGAGAGAAGAATAAAAAAGCTGAGTCACACCAGAATTTGTAAAACCAAACGCCGAATGGGATGGCCCCACACAAAAAGGATCTTCAAGTGAAAGCAGCTTCAGCTTCTTCGGGAGCGTAAAGCTTGTATATTTATAAGATAAAAAAATGTTTCAATTCATTACCATCACATACTATATTGCTTGTTCAACTGAAACCCATCTTTGGCTAGGCATAAAATTGTTGGCAAATATATCTATAAATAATTACCACTATAATTATTAAGACACAGATCCCGTTGTTTCACCTACCGATATATACCCCACTTTCAGAATTCTTGCGGATATTGCTTGATGAATTCTTTTACATTTTGTACTTTTTCGTTTGGAAAACTATTGCATTTTAACGCCTTTTTCAGTGGTCCAAAAATGTGATAATCGCAAGGCGATAAATCAAGTAAACGCTTTAATATTCTACATTTCTTTCGTTGTAGATACTGCTTCATTACTTTGGCAACAGAAGGTCAAGCATTGCCAAGCAAATTTAGAACAATTATATTGACAGTGATAAAATAGAAAATGAATTAATGAATAGTAGGTTTAGATTAACTAAAAAATATTAAATTGTGTCAAATTCTTTTTGTTAGATTATACGATAAAGAAGGTAATGGCTACATCACTACAGCTACTTTAAAAGAGATCCTTCGAGCTCTAGATGACAAACTAACTTTAAGAGAATTAGATGGTATTATAGCTGAAATCGATACTGACGGATCAGGCACTGTTGATTTCGATGGTAAGTTTATGTTAATTTTTTAGACTTAATGTAATACAAAATAACAACAGGATATTTTCCTTATTGTAAATAAAACCATAGAGCAGTAACCTTTTAGGTTATTAGTTCAACTACACTATTAATATTAACAATAAAATATAAACCTTATCTTCTTGTCAAAGAAGATAAGCTTAATATGTTTGGTCTTTTTATCAAAGCTGATAAGAAGACCAAACTATATGTGAAAAATTAATCATACGTGAATACTCACCACTTTTTTTACCCACTGATCTTCCAGCATTTTTCAAGAATTTCAAGATGTCTTCTGTCATCCATATATTTTTCTTGATTAAGTTACTTCAATAATCTTTGTTTGTAGATATTTCGTTAACTTGGTTTTTAAAATAATTTCATCTGGATCTTCTAGTTAGTCTCCAATGTTCATTATTCTATTCTTATTTTTTTTATTGTTAAATTTTATGCTGTATGGGCAAAGATAAGGATATTGGTTTTTGATTTTATTTTGTGGCATCTTTTACAGGAACTAATAAAAGTGCTTTTTCACTAAACCAATTACTCCATGCAGGTAGATCCTGCATGGACCATAACCTTTCAACTCATATAGTCTTTATAGATCTGACAAAGGCATACGATAGTGCACCACTTTCAATGCTTTGGGTAGCAATGGGAAAACAAGGAATAAGCAAAAAAATATACAATCAGTACAACAGCTCTACAAAAATATGACAGCAAACATTAAAACTGGAAATAGATTAACTAGAGAAATTCCTATTAGTAAGGGTCTAAAGCAAAGCTGCTGCATAGCACCTACACTCTTCAAAATATATCTAAATGAGGCACTCTCACTGTATAGAAGAAAGTGCTGCAATATGGGCATCCCAATCGGAGATGATAGATTGTACACGATACACTTCGCTGACGACCAAGCCATTCTAGCTGAAGACGAGAGTGATATAAGCTACATCCTTAGAAAACTGGAAGATGAGTACACCAAATGGGGCCTCACAATTAATATACAAAAAAACTGAGTACTTAGTTGTAGGAGAAAAATCAGAAAGCCTACAAATCGAAATGGGAACTATAAAACTAACAGACAATTTTAAGTACTTGGGAGTTCAAATAACATCAACAGCAGGAAGTAGCGAAGAAATACATTCCAGGATTGGCCAAGCAAGATCAGCCACCAGACAGCTACACGGACTATTATGGAATAAAAAAAATAACAAAAGAAAATAAAAGAAGAATTTATAAAACAATAATAGAAAGTGTTGGACTGTACGGCGCGCGGCGCCGAACTCTGGAAAATAAACCAAAGAAACAAATCAAAAATTAAGGCCATGGAAGTGAACTACTGGAGACGATGTTGCCAGCTCACTAGACTTGATAGGGTGAGAAACGAAGATATTCGGAGAGAAATGGAAATCGATCTAGACATAATAGACACAATCGAAGCCAAAAGACTTAACTGGTATGGACACCTTTAGAGAATGCCAGAAAACAGATGGCCAAAAAAATAGAAGAATGGACTCCGCCAACTAGAAGAAAACGAGGTAGACCAAGACGATCCTAGAGAGACGATGTCGACGATGCAATGACCGCCAGAGATCTAACAACTGAAGATTGCTTCGACAGAAAACGCTGGAAATTAGGATGCGAGAAGCGGCGTCAGCTGTAGAAGACTCGCTTGTTATATATATATATATATATATATATAATATATATATATATATATATTATATATATAATATATATATATATATATATATACCAATTAGTCTTGAATGATCACAAGTCAATCATCAAAAGACCTGTTTATAAGATATAGCAGAATTCCTTGGTTAATAACGCCGCTAAATTGAAAACATGTTTAGAAAAAAATGAAACTAAATTTGTTACGCCAATTAATAGGAAAGATCAAATGATCATTAACCGTCTTAGAATAGGACATAATACACTCAAACATGAGTTTATCATCTGCACCTTTATGTACTATCAGTTAAACACACCATTCTAAAGTGTCCACCTATACCAGAAACAAAAAATTGCAAATTCACTTAGTGTCTTCTTAAACATATTTTAACATATGCTTTGAATTAATTACTCTTTTTTCCTAAGGTTACCAAATTCTATACCAAAGTGTGTACTTTATACATTTATATAACAAAATTGTATGATTATGGTAAATCAGCACAGGGCCCATTTACAAGCCCTTCAGACACTTAGATCTCCGAATACGGGTCCATTGTATAAAAATTTGTATTTTTTTTGTACAATTGTAAACCATATTGTAAACTTTATACACTGTTTTGCATGTCACCACTAATCACTCTTGGTAGTTGGGATTAAATAATCGTCTTATAATGCTAATTTAAAACTATTATATACCTTTTTTATTTTACACAGAAGGTTAGATATATTTCTCACATAAACTGTACTTGAAAGTTTATTTAAAAGTATTTATGAAGTACGTAATGATTATTGTCGTATATAGAAATATATTTATCAAAAAGCTGAAAAATAAATAGGTAGTAATTGTTAAAACCATAAATAATAAATATAATTTTTGTTTTAGAGTTTATGGAAATGATGACTGGTGATTAACAAAGAAGGACGAGAAGAACGTACTCTGGATCATTTTACTCCTAAAATAACTGCATTTTAATAAGACTAACAACATAAGCTTTTATGAACCAAATGACTGATAACTTTGAAAATTTACTTTTTCTAATGTTTTCTTACATTTAATAAAAAACAATAATTGTCTTTTTTGAAATACTACAATAAATGTACAGGATATTTCATAATAATTGGTTTTATTTTCCTGTAACTTCTAGAGCGAAAAATGTAACTAAATAACTATTTCTCTGCACGAGATTCGTAAAAGCGTTTTTTATTAATATGTATTCTTCATATAAGAATCTTAAAATTACTTCTACTTTGACCTTGACTGTAGAAAGGTATGACACCATTATTATCATCACCCAGCCCTTTGCGTCCACTGCTGGACGTAGGGCTTCTTCATTTTTGTCCATTGTGCTCTATCTTGAACACTTTTTATTTAATTTCTTGACATGAAATTTTCTTAAGATCGCCAGTCCAATGAGTAGAGGGTCTTCCTCTACTTCTTTTGCCTCAACTCGGCCTAAACTCAAACAATCTCTTCGTCCACCTTTCATCACTGATTCGGGCGACATGTCCATCCCAGTTCCAGTTCAGTGTGGCAATTCGGAAAATTTCATCGGTAACTCCTTTTCCTCGTCTTAAGTCTTCATTTCTATCGCGGTCACGAAGCTATATACTCAACCATGGTAACATGATTGTTACCTGAAGCCAAATTTAACTTAATATCAAACATCACACATTTAAAACAACATTATGTACAATCTTTTGTAACTACATTTATTTTAAAGGGTTTTTACCCAAATATTTTGGTGACTCAGGCATGTCAACCTATTGTTTTTTTTTTTAAACCTGATGATGAAATTGTCATTCCGAAAACGTTCGTCTGTTTTTTGATGTAGCCCTTTTAAGGGTTTTTTTTAATATACCAAGTTACAAAGATTAGGGGAGAGGGGGCAAGTTGTTACACGGGCAAGTTGTTACACAATTATTTTAAAACGCAGCAAGTATCATGAGTTGCCGATATTTTATGGAAAGTTGGGTCAACCGACCCGTCATCTGTGAACGGATATTGATACTCAAGTCAGACATCCATCATAGTGTTATTGCTTAGAATGTGGTTTCGGGTCTAAAACTGTACCGTTGTCAGGTGGCATTTGTTTTTATTTGTGAGAAATTGGTAAGTAGTATAAATATGTGTATTATATAGTTTTGAAGCGTATATATTTCTCGTTATGGGCATGCTATTGTTAGTAATTGATTCTCAATATTTACCAAAAAACGTTGACTTAACTTCATTTCGTACACGTGAGGCCAGTTGTTACAATAATCTGGGGCCAGGTTGTTACTGTAACAACTTGCCCCGAACACGTTAATGTAAGAATATATCGAAATACCTACAATGGTTACGATATGGTTACCATAATTTATGATTTCACTAAAAATCCAATATTATGATCAGACATATTTTGTAGATAGTAATTTGTTTGTAATGAATAGCATACCTACCTACATTTATTTTCGCAAAGCATGTTAGAAACACAGATTAGGTTTTATTAAATTTTTCTATCATGAAATTGTTTTGGTTGTTTTCAGATAGCTTAACATGGTGCGAACGTATACCAAGAAAACCACAAGGGGTATTATTCCAACCGAGCAATTTGAAAGGGCGGCGCAATCGGTTTTACAAGAACACTTGTCAATTAGGGATGCTGCTACTCGCTATGGAGTTAATTTTATGACATTGCACCGCTATATGAAAAGAAAATCAAACTTAAGTGCTGAAAACAGTAACAAGAACTTAGTCGGCTACGCTACGGCCAGAAAAATATTTAACAATGCCGAAGAAGAGAAACTTGCCGAATATACTAAGCATTTTGCTAAAATTTATTACGGTCTTACAACTTCTGATTTGAGAAAATTTGCATTTTAATATGCAACAGCCAACCAAATATCTGTTTCGGAAAATTAAAAGGTTAATGAAATAGCTTCCAGAGACTGGCTATATGGATTTTTGAAGAGGCATCGAACTTTTTCAGTCCGGACACCTGAAGCTACTAGTATGGGTCGAGCTACCGCGTTTAATCGTCATAATGTGTCACAGTTTTTTAACAATCTTGGCGAAGTTTATGATAAATATAAATTTGAGCTCCAAGAAGTGTACAATATGGACGAAACTGGACTTACAACTGTCCAAAGGCCTACAAAAATCATTGCAAAAAGGGGAACTAAGCAGGTAGGTGCTATTACATCTGGAGAAAGAGGTCAACTTGTTACCTTGGCATTAGCTGTCAACGCAACTGGAAATTTTGTACCTCTATTTTTAATATTTCCGAGAAAGAAATTGAAAGATATTATGGTAGCCAATGGACCTCCTGGTTGTGTAGGTGCGTCACATTCCTCTGGATGGATGACATGTGATAACTTTTTGTTGTTTATGAAACATTTCGTCCAGTTTGTACAATGTAGCAAAGAGAAACCCGTTTTGATGGTATTAGATAATCACGAGTCTCATTTGTCTATTCCGGTGTTGAATTTTTGCAAAGAAAATGGAGTGATTCTTTTAAGTTTCCCGCCACATACATCACACAAGTTGCAGCCGCTTGATAGGACGGTATTTGGCTCACTTAAAAGATATTTTAATAGTGCTGCAGATGCATGGTTAAGATCTAATCCCGGTAAAGTAATGAACATTTACGATGTACCTATCGTTCTTAAAGATTCATTTCCTCTTGCTGTTACACCTCTCAATATACAAAAAGGATTTACTGTGACAGGAATTTGGCCATACAACAGAGAAATTTTTCAAGATGATGAATTCTTGCCTGCAGAGGTAACAAATATGCCAATAACAGAAAATATAAACGCAACAGTGGTCATAGATCCGGCACCTATTGGCACCGAAACACATAGAACTCCTTCCCAACAGCAACCTTCTACAAGCACAGATTTTAACTTGGCGATAAATGAACCTGTCGATTCACCTACTCATATAACGCCCCAGGAGTTGAAGCCTTATCCAAAAGCAATGCCAAGTAAATCCAAAGGGGGTCGGAAGAAAAGGACTTCTGCTGTTTTGACTGATACTCCCATTAAATCAGCTTTGGAGGAGGAAGAAAAGGCAAGACAAAGAAAAAAATGTGGGGGCAACCAAGAGAAACATATCAGGTGAATCAAGAAACAAGGTAAAAACTACTGTTAAAAAATGTAAGAAACGGACCGACATTACCAAAAACACCTTCAAAAAATCAGATTCTGAAAGCTTGGAAGAGGATGAGGAATCGACGTGTCTGGTATGTTTAGCTCCATTTTCGAAGTCCAAAAACGAAGAATGGATTCGGTGCATTATGTGTCAAAAGTGGGCACATATTGCTTGTGGAAAAGACGATGATTTTTATATTTGTATTCACTGCTCGTCCGATAGTGACTAGTTTAACATTCTTGTAAATAGGTTTGTTCAGATTTTCATTTTTTATTTTATATCATTTTGTGTTATGTTTATAATATTTTTTGTAGCTAAGCAAGGGTTCTTTCTGTGACCACTAAATAATGTTGTGGGAAGTTTTTAGAATTTTTTTTTTCTATTGTAACATCTTACCCCATGGACTAACAATTTGCCTCATAGTGGGGTATGTTGTTACAATTTACAAGTTGAGTTCAATTGATAATATCAAAATGTTAAATATAATTTTTTAAATAAATTAAAATTAACATTATTTGTGTAAATGTATCAACTTAATCCGATTTTAGTTTTCATATAAAAGATCTACTATTGCCCAAATAAATAATAGAATCAATTATGTAACAACTTGCCCCCTCTCCCCTACCATAAATTTTGTCTTTTTTGTGTTTAGGGATAGTCCGTTTACTTTACTGTTAAACTTATAACATTTAATGGGATTTTACCCAAATATTTTAGAATCCATTATGTAACAACTTGCCCCCCTCTCCCCTAACCTCTTTTTTTGAGATACGTGGTATACAGCCAGCTGCAGGAATTATTTTCCTTGTGGATTTTTTTAATCTCTTATATGTTGTTAAAAACCTTCGTAAGAGCTGTGATTTGGTGTGCCTCTAATAGCTTTAAAATTTCACCATGCATTCCATCAGGTCCTGGTGATTTCCCACCTTTTTTCCGCTTAATGGGCATAGTTACCTCGTTTGTTATTTCTGGGCCGTTTGTTATTTCTCACCTATTATATTTTTTGTAAACCTGTACACCTACACAATAAATCAAAAGATGCCATTTTTGTTATGGCAAACAAAATTTTTCCACGCTGAATTAAACCTCTGATATTATTTACAAAATTAATACAACGTTACTCTTGAAATAATTTATTTCTGACCATAGATACAACAACAAAACATTTAAAATATTAATTTTCTATCATAATTATATACTATCTTTTCTAATAATTATATATTCATGCAAAGCATGGTGGTCCAATTTATTTACATATATTTAATAGGATATATAGCCATTTCTCTATTCACAGTCATACAGGTACGGATAGTAATCAAAGTATGTATAGAGTATTTTTTGATTTTACAAATATCACACTTATCCATTAATCTGTATTATATACTAGGGGGTATCAAACAATGACGTAGTTGAAGAACTGTTTTTAATAATAATAAATACATCTTTTAGGTTATTATAATCTTTTTTTTCTAAAATAAGGTAACGTAGATGATACTAGCCCAATATAGTAAAGAGACGCAAGTTCTGAGTGCATGGTAGTGACAAAATTCGAAAAAGTGAGAAAAGTTTTATATTATTTGCCGATTATTTTTGTGCAGTGTTGTAAAGTTGTGTAAAGTTTTTAATAGATTTAAAGAAATGCAGGAACATGTTGCTACAATCACAGGATAATGTAACACTGAATAATAATTATTTTTAACCTAATCTAAATGTTGTAACGTTTAAAACGTTACATTTTTGTTCTTATTAATTTCAAAGTACCTTCCATTATTTTGTGCTCATACTAAATTCACTGATGAATTTCTTAAGTCCCCTCGTAGTTATACCTTCGCTTACTTTATCATACAAGAAACAGAAACCCCACCACTAAATAATTTACTTCTATTAATCCGATCTGATTTAATTTCTTTTTAAAATAAACCAGCAAACGACAAGGTACTAAAAAATAAGTCCTCGTGGTCAGAAACTTCCAACGGTCTGGCCACC